AGTCACTCGTGATCCTAGGTCTCGTGTTTACGTCAAGGGGGTAGCCTCAGGGCGTGACACTCTTTTTGGGTATTTTTAATTTCTAGCAACCACTTACTCTTCTATCTATATTGGAGAGTAATTTTGAGCGTTATAAAAATGGTGTCGTTGCCAGATAGTGATGGCTAAGACCCTCCGTGAGGTAACTTTTTACAAATATTTTGTTCTTACTTATTATAAATCTGTCATATACAAACATTATTAAAGTCACCACTTACCAGATATCCTTTTCAGAGGGATCTTTTCATAACCTTCAATTCTGACTATTGCAGAACTACCCATGAACATAGTCTCATCGAGTCCCATAAGAGCAAATGAATTGAATGATTCTTTTACAACACAAACATGGAAGAAGACTTTTCACCAATATTCATGACTATACAAATATTTGAATTTTAATAGACACATATTTTCATGAAAAATCATAATATTTTAAGTCACACTCTTTCATAAGATAACACAACTCTTTTGGACAAGTATATGTTTAATTTGGTAGTTTTATACTAATCATATGATATACTAGTGAAGAGAAATTCAATTACCACAATATCAATCTTGTGCTTCCACATTTAAATTAGAAATCAAGTCTAATTTTGTTTTTATCACAAGCAAAGAATACCCTCATTTCAAATATGATATCAAAATAAAATTCAAGTATTTGAAAATAATTTTTCACATATTTTTTTCAATGTTTTCAAATTGTATACCATCAAAATACACATTAGCAGCATGAAGCCTCTTTTGGAGATAGTATTCTACAAAAAAAATTGTTAGTGCTCCAATTCCCTTTGACAATATTTACAAAATGTAAAGTTTAATTCATAGAGGCACTCATTGTAGGCACAAAATCACTGACTTTATGTCACTAATCCTTTTTTTTTTTTTATCTTTTTGTCACAATTAGACAGACCACTTAGTATTTAGAATACTAACAATAAAGACTAATTTTTTGTACAACTTATTTCTAGCGTTTCTATATTCTTCAGAATGTCAATCGAATGAACTTTGAATACTGACAAAGTTTTTATGACTTCAAATCAGTTTCATATTTAGACGGAGTAGAAATCAAGAGGTTTTAATCTCCATAAACCAAATATACTACACTATTTCTAGTTAACGATGAAGTTTTTTTTATATTCTTCGAATCATTTAGCGTTAATATTCCTGACAAAGTCTTTTATACTCTTGAAGTCGAAATATTCATTCAAACAGAGTGATTACTAAAGTGGTGAAGTTTCTATATTTTTTGAACCAAATATACCGTCTAATTTATTCGGTAACGTTTTTATATTCTTTAAACCGAAGGAGTAAGAAAATCAGAAGATTATAGTCTCTAAAAATCAGACACAATCAAATTTCACACGGAATAGAAAAGTACACAAATTTTAATCTTCAAACCTGACCAAAAAATAATATTATAAATTTCCTTGAACATCTTTAAAATGGAAATTCACACTTCTCAAAATGTGACCCATTTGGTACACTACCAAATTACATAAATGAAATCTCATTTTTGAGGCCAGCTTATTCATTTGAGTTGGCAACCGAACTTATTTGTTATCTTCTTCCTCGGTCACACTCAGTAAGTTAAAGCTTTAGAGATTGCAAATAATCACATCAGTAGCATATTAAAGTATAACTGCTCATCCCAAATTTAGTTTATCATATGATAAAATGATCCTCTTTCTTATAAAAAATTTCTCCAACAAAGTAGACCACGGAAAATACCAGCAATATATTAATAAATATCTTAAGTTTGTCGCTTCATGTATTCAGTATTATAGTAAATCATAAATACTATAGCCCTGAAAAGAAAGAAAGAAAGAAAACATCTGAGTACACAGAATTTATTGTGTATCCTTAAGGAATTTAACCTTCTCAATGCACCCGAGGTTGTGGATTATTTCCTCCCCGTATAAAACGGTTAATCCTTTTAAAGAAGTAGCGGCACCTCAAACTTCAATACCTTCAGCAAACTCAAAAGGCAGCAACGAAATCACACAAAGACTCTACTTTGCTAGGAAGAAAATGTATGAAGAAGAAGGAGGAAATTCTATTTTAAAAAATGGGAGAAACCCCCTCTATTTATAGCCAACAAAGGGCAGTATGAAAAGGTGTTAGTTGTGTCTTATAGGAGAGGTCACAACCCTTTAAAAAAGGACAACATTTTGGAAAGGTCACAACCCTTTGAAAAAGGCACAACCTTTTAGAAAAGTCACAACCCTTTAGAAAATGTACAATCTTTTGAAAAGGTTATAGAACTTTAGAAAAGTCACAACCATTTAGAAAAGTCACAATTCTTCATTTTCCATTCATACCTTTAAAATTCAACACACGATACATACATACATTAACAACTTGTTTCATGGTTATCATCTATTGTATTGTAGTGTTGTTAGTTTAAATAAAATATTTATTTTGATTGTTACTTAAATTTTATTGTATCGTATCACTAAATTTAAGAAATAATAATCAATATATTGTTGGTTCAGTTATCATTTTAGCAATATTACAATCCAAATATTGATAACCCAAATCGATAACAATCAAAATCAAGTCGAACTATATGATATAATCAACACTAATTTGAAAAAAATATATTTTTATGTACTTGATCCCTATTATTTTAATGTATAATAGATTTTCTTTTAGGCAAATATATGTTTATCCATATGTATATAACTTATGGTGTGTTTGGTATGAAGGAAAATGTTTTCTAGAAAATGTTTTCTTGGAAAACAAGTGGATTTTTAACTTATTTTTTCATGTTTGATTGGTGAGTAGAAAATATTTTTTAATGTTTGGTTGGTGAATGAAAAACATTTTCTAGAAAATATCTTTTATTTTTGGCTTGAGACTAGAAAATACTCTTTAGAAAAATAATTTCTGACCCAGAAATAATTTCTGACCCAAACTTCCAATCCTGAAATATTTTTCAAATTAATTTTTTAAAAAAAGAATTGATTGGGGGGGGGGGGGTGTCTGAGGGGTTAATGTGGTGTAGGAATGACATAAAAAGGAAATTTGAAATATTTTTCAAAAATATATTTTTTTTTAAAATTAATGGGGGTACGGTGGAAGGGGGGGGGGTAGGGTAGGGGTAGCGAAAAAATGAAAATTTTAAATATATTCAAAAATAAATTTCATTTTAAAATTTTTTTGACGGGTGGTGGGGGCGGAGGCGTAAAAATGAATTTTTTTAAATTTGAAATATTTTTCATTTAAAAAAAAAAAAAAAACTTTTGACGGCGTGGCCTTGTGGGGGTTGGCGAGGAGGGGGATAGGGGACTAGGGGTGGCGGGTGACGTAAAAATGAAATATTTTTCAAAAATATTTTCTTTTAAAAAAAAATTGATGGGGGTGGCCTGAGTGGGTGGTAGGTGGCATAAAAATAAAAAAAATTAAATTTGAAATATTTTTCAAAAATATTTTTTTTAAAAAAAATTAACGAGGGGGGGGGGTCGTGGGATTAGGGTATGGGATGAGGTAAAAATGAAATTTTAAAAATTTTAATTATTTTTTAAAATAACTTTTTTTTCATTGGGGGAGGGGGTAGTGCTGGTAGGAGTTGACTGAGGTAAAAATAATCTTAAAATTTGATATATTTTTAAAAATAAATTATTATTTTTTTTTGGGGGGAGTGGGGATGGTTCGGGGTAGGGTAAAAAATATTTGAAATTTTAAAATTAAGAAAATTTAAAAAATTTAATTTTTTTTTTTTGGGGGGAGTGGGGATGGTTCGGGGTAGGGTAAAAAATATTTGAAATTTTAAAATTAAGAAAATTTAAAAAATTTAATTTTTTTTTTTTGGATGGGGGAGGATGAGGTATGGGTCAACGGAATATGAAATAGGGTAAGAAAGAAATATTGTAATTTAAGGATGAAGTAGAATTTTGAAAAATATTTTCCTTAATTTTTGAAGGGCAATCATATTCCTTAAATTTGATGAAAACAAGTTGATTTGGAAAATATTTTCCAAAATATTTAAGCCAAACAAACATGAGAAAAATTAAAAATATTTCCAACAAATGTTTTCCTTCCTACCCAACACACCCTTAAAGTGAAATTAATTGTAAAATTTAGCTTAGACGATTGTGCTTGAAAGTGTAACTTGGCCACTAATAAGAGTTCGCTAGTAGGGGTGTGCAAAAACCGAATTGAAAAAAATGTTATTGGGTCATTGCTATTGGGTTAACGAATTTTTAATAGTTTTATAAAAAAAATATTGGGTTATCGGTTTTTAGTATTGGGTTATTGGGTAAACCGATAACCCATTAAAACGATAGTAAGTTACTACTATACCCTTCATAAATATTAAATATTAATAATTTAACATAACTAGACACTATATCAGTACTCTACACTACCGTCTACACACTTCTCACGTCATAGTACTTCTACTTCACATAAAAAATTTCATATTATGTTTTGATTGTAACATGTTATTGTAGCCTTCGTATTACATCTACTCTTATTGATGCAATTTCTCATTATATATCTTGTTTAACTATATTAATGCATTTACAGATGATTTGCTTGTTTCACTGTATCGTGCCAAATTGTTAAAGAAGTGAGAAATCATAAATTTATTTTATGCACATTTTCTTATTCAGTAAATCGAAAACCAAATCGTTAATGACCAAAAACCAATAAACCGAAAACCAATAAAAAATATCTTATTAGTTTGTTATTGATTTAGCGTATTTAAAAACCAAAAATGATAAACTAAACCGATAATACATAAAATTGAACCAACCGATGCACACCCTATTCGTTAGAGTTGAATATATATAATGTAGAGAGAGAAATGTTTCAATTAACATGTGAGTTTTCTATTATTCTTTTCCATAACTTCCTTACATTGGAATATTGAATCTAAATTGACAACCTTTTTCTTTGGTATGATGAGATTAAAAAATTACATATATTAGACAATAAAATAAGCTACCCTCGGGATCGACATAAAATGCTAAAACGGAGCAGATGGCAGCTTCTTATTGGACAAGAAATGTCTAACTAGTTGTAGAGCTTGCTTTGGCTTGAATGTTGGAACTTGATGACCAGCCCCTCTTATTGTTACAAAATATAATCCATCATAGCCAACTGTCCATCCACCAACCTATTAACATTTTACATGTTAATATTAGTTTTCCAATATTAATTAAAGTTAAAAATATTATTTATTAGTAATATACCTGTTTATTGTTAGTGTACCAAGGAGTCCAATCTTCAGTGATCTTCAATCCAAGTTTTCTCAAAGTTAATCTTGTAGAAGTGACTGGGATTCTACCATCGGTATCTCCACTGATATTAAAAATATAAATCGAGAATTTAATATTGATTTACTTCTTCTTTTTTTCCTTCGATTGAAATCTTTCATAAAAAATTATGAGGTATACCTATAGACCCAAACGCGCAGACCACCATCAATTAGTTTCTTGATGGTAGGGAGCATGGAAAATGGTGCATCATTCCAAAATGAGATATTATTGCTGCAAAAATAATATGGGTATTAGTCATATAACTAATAATAATAAGGGTAATGACCAATGGCTAGCCAGAAATTTTATTAATGGTGTGTGGCTGTCAAAATAAAATAAAAAAATATTGTGATAGGAGGTTTGAACCCATTACCACTGCACCAAAGACATAGCTTTTGTCAAAGGTGTCCAACTTTAAATATATATCCTTTAAATGTAAAATTTGACATATATATACAATGTAATTTTTCGACGAAGGGTGTCCAATTGGACACCTGGGGTAGCTGTGGCTACACCACTAATGGCAAGTGATTTTTGGAAAGAAAAAGAAAAGATCGATGAAGGGCGGGGATTTTGCTGACCTGCAATGAGTCCATGGATAAGGAATTTTGGTGATATTTGCATGAAGTGCAGCTTGAACATCTGGTCTATTCATATAAGTTTCTGTGTAATCAGAGAGACAAGGATCGTATCCGGCTGGTCTTTTGAGCCATCCTTCCTACATGTTTCAATTTTTAGTACTTAATCATAGTATGATATGTGATAAGAATTTTGTCTAATTAACAAGATACTCACAATTGTTGATAAGGAGTTTGGAAGCGTGCTGAAGTTGCTATTAACACAATTGGGGGCGTAAAGGTTGTACATGTCTAAGATTTTGTAAACAGCAAAGTACTGATTAAGAAGATTGTCGCAGTCATCACCTACAGGTTTTAAGCTGAAATTGCAAACTCTTTTAATGGAATCGTACAAATGATCTGATATCACTGCATGATCCCAAGCATAGTCTATCATTCCTTTTTGGTCTGTTTCATCGTCCATCAATGCATTCCCTATCTGCAATTCCATAGACAGTAATGACACAGACATACAACATCGTGATCTTGATCGATTGAGTTGGTAAACACGTACGTACGTACCATGAATCCTTTGAAATTTATGCGATCCTCTTTTTTGAGCTTTTTGTTGTTGTCAAAGATTTGCTCTGCTAGCTGGGGAACATAGTGTCCTGGATAATTAAATTCAATAGAGTATGTATCACTCACTACATTATTTATTTATTTATAAAATGAGATGTTTGAAATTAATGTGTATATTTACCGGCGTAACTTTCACCAGCAATGTAGAATTTATGTGACTTGAACTGTGGAAATCTTCGAAACCAATTGACCAGAAATTTATATGAATCTTGGGCTGATAAATAAAAGGAAAAAGATGAGTAAAATAATTCTTTTGGAATTAAAAAGAAGTAAGTAAGTAACCATTAATTTGTTTACCTGTAATAGTGTCTCCAAGCTCTTTGATATCAGTGGAGGTGTTTGTGTATGAAAATCCAACACCAACAGGGGATTCCAAGAACAATAGGTTTGCAGCTGCGGATTTGATTTACAACATTATTTTAGTTATGTATATTATTAATAAATTTCTCTTGTTTATTTACCTTTATTCCAAGTGAAATGGTTCAACTTGAGCTCTGGCTTATTTTTCTGTGTTAAGAAAGGTCCTAACTCCTCTGCTTCACCATACCCAATTGAGGAGCATCCTGGGCCTGAAAGTAAGAGTCACATAACGTCTATTAGTGTGAAATATGTTATTTTTACTATTCTGGCTAAATTCTGGCCAAAAGGATTTTTCCTTATAAATTTGACTTTGCAAGTAGTACAATTTATCTACTTGAAAATATCAAACTTCATTAAAGGAAAGGATAAATATGAAAAAAAATAATCAAATATCCTTCTTCAACTTTGAACAATTCAATTATTTTGAATAAAAAAAATCTCAAAAGGGAGTACTATATACCAACTATACATTGATTATACATGATCCTTCCAGTAAATAAAAACAAGATGATCAATTTGTCCCTCTTTTCTTTTATTTTTGAAATTTTTATTTTCATAGGGGTATGTATAATAAAGGTGAAATAGGGAAATGGATTACAAGGTCCATATTGAACCTTCACCAATAAGGTAAAAAGTTAACTAACTAACCAGCAGAGCTATTAAAATTCTGTAATATGTCCTTTTTTTACTTTTATAATGAAGCAAAAACGAAGAGGAAACTAGAAAAAAAATACATTGATTTTCATATATTTGTAGTTAAACTTTTAATCACTCTTTCCTTCAGTTCAAAGAGATAAAAAGCAAGTGAATATTAACAATCATTTGCCTTTCCTGGAAAAACCTTCTTTTTTTTCGTTTTGAGTATGTTTTAGTATCCTTTCATTGCTTATCTTTGTTTCTAAGCATATATAGCTGGAGACAATGACATATCATATCAAGTTTGACCATGAAAACCAAAAAAAAATCACTTTATTTGAAACTTTTGAATTTAGAAGTTGAAGTTAAAGTTGTGTTTTGCCATAATTTTACGGCTGATATTTAAAATTTAAAAGTATAAAATATTATTTGAACATGGAATGTAATTTAATAGAGTTACTTTATGAAAATAAAAAAATCATGAATTTTAAAAACAAAATAACTTAAAAAATGAAAAAAGTAAAAGTAAAGAAGTGGAAAACAAAGTTTTGGCTGTATTCCAAATTCCAAATACAACTTAAGTTGAAATAATTTTTCAAATTGTTTGAAAAATTCTCATGGCCAATTATGATAAAGTTCAACCTCCATTCCCAATATTTATTTATTACTCCCTTTACCCGTTTACTAAATTAAAAATAGTCGTCCAACAATACTTGTTTGATTTAAAAAATTAAAAGATAATTTATCCTTTTGTGTTTGTTTTATCTTTAATTTCAAATATCACTATTCAATGCATAATATATTTCTCAAAACATAAAATTTAATATATATTCAAGAAGTAATATTATTTATTTTTTCTCAAGATGTATGCAAAATTGTTGGACAGAAGGAAATTACTAATCGAATCCTCACCACAAGTAAAGGTTTTGATAACCAAAAAGATGAGTTGTGTACCTAGACAATTAAAAACACTATCTAGAAATAGAATAAGCAAAGATTATATCATAGTAACATAAATATCAATGAAATGAATTTGTGTATAGTGAGTGACCTCCATTGAGCCATAAAAGTAGGGGCTTTTTGCTGGAGTTGGTAGTTGCCTCAAAAAACCAGTAGAAGAGTGCTCTTCCATGGGTCTCATTGACAGTAACATATCCAGCATACTGTTTAAAACTCACTGGTGGCTGACCAGGTAACTCCATTACACGATCTGCTTCTTGTTCATCCAAAACTTGTTTGTCATAACCTCTTGATGTTCCTAATAAAACTGATATTATAAACCCAAGAAAATAAATGTAGAAAAAATATCGAAACATTTTTTATCAACTTGTTAATGAGGCAGAGGAGACTGTGTGGTTTATATAGTAGTCATGACAAGACAGATAAGCACTTATCTGTCACACTCCATATCTTATTACTCCATTTCATTTCCATCATGTAATAATCTCTTATTACTCTACATTTGACTCTTATAAATACTCACTTTTCAAGTAATGAATTCATCAAGATTTTCTATAATTCACTTTTAATTAACTTACATTATAAAAATTACTCTCTTTGTTCTTAATTACTTGTCCACTTTTGAATTGACACATCAATTAAAAAAACAATTATTGACATAGTGAGTTTATCAGTTTACCCCTATTAATTATGAAATAAGGGGTCGTTTGGTAGGAAGTATTAGGAAAAATAGTCCATGTATTATGTATGATATTAATTAGTACTATATTTGGTAGAATTTTTGGGCCTAAGAATAACTAATCCATGGATTAATTACACACCCTACATGGTATTATAGGATGTATTACTAATACCTTCCATTTGGTGGTATTAGTAATACATTGGATTTAATACCATGACATTATCTATGTAAAGACAAAAATATCTCTAAAATCATTTTATTTATTTTCTTGATTTTATATTTTATATTGTACTAGTAAATTTATTTAAAATAAATTAGCTTACAAGTTTTATTATTTAGAGAGAATTGTTTGTTGATAAATAAATGCAATACATATCAATATAATATTTAAAATGTGAGTTGTTTAACATTAATTAATTGAAAAAGGCGAATATATCACCACATGACATTTGTGATCTTAATTGAATATATTATTTGTTGATTTATATGTGGTTTCTAATTATTTGTATTTTAACAATTTATAAATTGCATACATATTAAAACTACAACTTGCAATTTTTATGTATAAATGTAGATGATTTATCGATTTTACTATTGTTTACCGTCTTTTCGGTTTTAAAGTAGATGATCTATCTATTCTAAATTGAAAATTAACGTTTTTTAAGTGATTAATATATTAAGATGACAATTATTACCCTCTAATAATTCAAGTGAAAAAATAGCAAACATGACAACAAAATTGTTCTTCTCCTAGCTAGTTAGAAGGCCATAGAAAAATAATATTGTCTGACAATTATCTACCTTGTCCCGATTACATAAAATAGAAAATCTCATAATAATTCAAGGGTATAATTGGAAAGAAGCTTTTGGTAGAGTTTTAATCCAAACACAAGATGAGTTGAGAAACAATGAACCAAACACTTGATAAAAAATATACCCTGCATTACTAATCCCAGCACTACTAATCCCTGCATTATTAATCCTTGCGTTACTAATCCTTGCGTTATTTATTTTTCTACCAAATGACCCCTAAATGAATTAAAAATTTGAGATTTTCAAGAAGTTCTATTTTTTTCAAAGTAATTAATTAAGGTTATAATAGTAAAAAAAATTATCATTTCTTAATTTGTCAAAATGAACAAGTAATTAGGGACAACTAAAAAAGAAAAAGTGGATAAATAATTAGGGACAAATGAAAAGAAGTATGTTTAATTCTATATGATAGGCGGGATGATATATCTAGGAAACTCTCAGACTTGTTCCGATTTGATATCTCGGTCCTTGTACTATTCAAAATTTCATCTAAATACCTAATTTCGATCAAAAAAATATACTCCCTCCGTCCTATTTTATATGCCACCTTTTTACTTTGCACTTGCATTAAGAAATGATGTAACTTTACCCTTCTACCCTTATTTAATTTTTTTGAAACTCAAGTTTTCAATCAATGAATATGAATTAATTTATTTTGATTAATTAATTTAACCAATGAACATGAATAATTTACTTAACTTTTCTAAGTTGGTCAAATGTATTTTTCAATGCTAATAACTCACAAGGGTAAAAAAGGAACAATATGCTAATTTATGCATTGATTTTATGAAATGACAAGTATTATGGACCAACTATTTATAGAAAGAGATGACATATAAAATGGGACGGAGGGAGTATTAAATTCTTAATTTAGAATATTTCATTAATGACAACAAAATTCGTTGATTTATATAAATAAGAGGAAGAATGTCATAATTATGGGGGATCAGAGTTTAATTTTTAAAGCAAAATTTTAGGCATACATGATTCGGAAATTGGCCAAAAATACTCCTAAACTATTGAAAAAGGTTTAAAAATACCTTTCATCCATCTTTTGGTCTATAAATACATTCCATTCATCTTTTTGACTCACTTATACCCTTGAAACTAACAATTCTCTCTTTATTTTTTTTATTTTTTTTTTATTATGTGTCATTCTCCTATTGGATAATATAAAGAGCCCACCTCAGTTAGATTATTTCTCATTATTTATCCAAACCAAAGCAATATACCTCTTCAAGACCCATATCCTCTCCATATCCTCAAATTTTTACTTAGATTGAAGACTCATGGCATAAGAAAAAATTAACGGCTAATATTTAATTAATTAAATCAAGATTCTAAACATGACATAGATGATTAATATTTTATAAACAAATGTATTATGTCATAATCATAACAATATATTATCATATCCATAAATACATTACACACATTTTTCTCTATTTTCCTACTTAAATTTTCCCTATGGCTACGGCCGTCCATCTGCTTTTTTTTTCTTTTTTCTAATAAGTTGATTTTTAAGTAAAATTGTTTGTGGAACTTTTTCTTTGAAAAGAATTTATCACAGATTAGCAAAAAAATTAAGTTACCAATTTTATTTAATTTTTTAAAAAGGAAGATAGATATTGTGGCACTATTAATATTCTTATAATATATTAATTATTTAAAATAAACTTTATAATTTTTTTTAGAGCAAATATAAAAATTACTAGATTTTTTTTGTTAAAAAAAATTGGTGTCCTGAAGAGGTATATATTTTTTGATTTGAATAGATTATGGGAATTTTTTTTAATAGAGATGAGATTTTTATTTTATCTAATAAGAAAATGACAAATAATATTTTTTTTAAAAAATAAAACAAAATAAACTTTGGTTGTTAGTCATAAAGGTATAAGTTAGTCAAAAATGTGAGTGGAAGGGTATAAGTGAGCCAAAAAGGTGAATGAAAGGGTATTTTTAGACCAAAAGTTGGATGAGGGGTATTTTTAGACATTTTCCTATAGTTCAAGGATAGTTTTGGCTTTTCCGTAAATGATTTCACCCCCATATATCATCACTCTCCTTATAATTTTAATATTTTTAAAATTCAAAATTTTATGAGTCTTATCACTTTTAAAGACGTGTAATTATACATTATATCCGATCCAGCAAAATAAATATCATATAAACTTACTTAATGGTATTCAAAAGTGTCCAAAATATATATTATTTTTGAATAGGCTTATATTTTAAATAAAAACTTTAAAAAATATAAAAAAATGAGATATCAAATTGAGACAAGTAGAAGAATTTCTTGAATCATTCCGCCTATATGATATAAGGAGAAGCATCTAAACTCTCTGCTTTGGAATTATCTAATTTAAAGTTAAACATGTTGGTATTGTCACACCAACCATACAAGGTTTTGCTTTAGAAAACTGCAAGACAAAGAAAAAGAATAAAATAAACTGTGGCCAATTGCTTGGGATGTAAATGTTTGAAAGCGTTTAGTTAAGACCCAACAAGACTTTTTCAAGATAAATAAATATTTTCATGACAGTTGGGATATTTTTAAAACTTTGAATCTTTGACCAATGATATATCATAAATGATGATCGAGCAAAGAAAATGATAAATGTTAGAATTTTCACGAAGTGAGTTTAAGATATAAAATAAAATATAAACAATGTTGTAAGCGAAAGTCAAACTCCGGTTGGTTGGACAAAATGAACCCACCTCACTGTTAGGGTAAGCATCACACTAGTGCTAAATGGAGTCAAAATTTAATATATACATATAAAATTTTAAAAATTGATTAAATATAAATATATATACGGTATTATTTTTCAACAAAGAGAATTCATATGAACCCACTTGACCCACTTTTGATCCCCTAGTCCCCATACTCCATACCTAATATTTATTTGAGTTAATTACATTAAATATTTCTATAATATGATGAATCAGTATTGAATCTATTTTGTATATTTGAAAGTTAAATATTTATACCTCTTATACTAGGAAAATTTTAATTTTACGATTCCAAATAAGTATATTCATAACTAAGTATATTATAACATATAATTATTTTATTGAAAAAGATATGAACATTTTTATAGCCCTGTTGATTAAAAAGAAGTAAATATGTTTTACAACACATATCTTTCGAAACTCGTAAATATGAAATAAACATGAATTACTTAATAAGATATAGCAATTTTCAGTAATAACATTATTGAACTTTAAGTATACCATTATGTAAGGTAGGAATCGTAAGTGTTTGATTTAAATCAAGCTTAATATATAGTCAGTTTCTTAAATTTTTTAGAATATTTCATTTAAGCACTTTGATTAAGTTTTATTCCAATTGAACACATCAACTCAGGAGTGGCTCAATTACATTAATGGCCTGAAACAGAGGCGAATTCAGGATGTAATGTCTGTGGGTTTTAAATTTTAAAAAAGGAACCGATCTCAAGCTAATGTGACAATAGTCAAACTAAAGAACAAATATCAATATATAATATATATTTTTAAAAAGCGATGAACTACTTAAATTTCTTTTCTCCATATATATATATTATTATTATTATTATTAAATTCACATTAATATATGTGGGTCTAAAACAAAACTTTTACTTGTTTCATTATGAAATACCTCTGCTTTGAAAGTAGAAATTTCGAGAAGCAAACAATAATATAATTAATTATCAAAATGTGAAACAACCATAAAATTAAATTAAAAAATAATTTTTGAAGAAATTGTTGTGCAATGTAAAGACAAATGAAAAAGGGGGAAGGGACTGTCAAAGAGGAACTAAGAAGACTGCACAGTACATATCAGAGAGCATATATCTAAATTCTGACAATTGGTTATAT